CTAGACAGTTTTGATGTGTGTATATGACTATATTTGTGTTTTCAACAAATCAAAGTTTTGGGCCTTTTACAGTCACGACTGACTGAGATTGTAAAGTCATCAACTAGTTATGTATAGTATTAATGCCAACCACCATAAATATATGCGATTTAGATCCGAAAATACAGTTTCATTTCCAATGTGTAGCAATCCCGAAAGTATACGCAGTAGATAACGAAGACAATACATAGTTATTTTGTAACACGATTGACTATTAACTTCCCAGTGCATTACTATCTACGCAATTTATGTATCGTCAATCATAATAATCACCGTATATATCCTATTTAATGAGCCCTTTATTCGCAGCAGGTGTTCGGAGAGTGGGCTCAAGTAGAAGTGGTGGAGCTGGTTAACGATGGTTCGGGTCTGGCGTTCGGCATTGTCGGGGGAAGATCTTCTGGCGTCGTTGTCAAGAGTGTGTTGCCGGGCGGAGTCGCTGACAGAGTAAGTTACCTTTCTTTCTATCTACGACCTTAGGACAAGTGGCGTAGCGTCGATTTCAGTTGCCCACGGCCTACCTTAAATTTGTTGCCCCCTCTATTTTCATGATTACAAAAGTGGTGCGTTCGATTGTGTTTTTATGTTCGCCTATCGTCGCCATCTTCGTGTTGTTCAGAATATCGGTTTCTCAAGTAGTGAAATATATGTTCTAATTTTAAATAAAAGTAATCGTTTTGACTAGTTAGGCTCGGCCGTGCTTGCCGCTTGCTGTGCCGCCCGGGGCCATGGCCCCCTCTGCACACTCCACGCTACGCTACTGCTTAGGAACTTCTACCATGAGTCATTTTTTCTTTTTTCTTGTGTCTTCTAGGGGCGCTGCGCTGTACACTTTATCAAACAATTGTAGCTATACAGCTCCTTGTGAAAAAGTTCGTACTGCTACCTTACCTATTTCTGCCCAAGCAGTAATGTGAGCATTACTGCATGTCTGGTTTATATATACTGGTATTGAGGGTAATGGCGCTTGTGAAATTACAGGTGAATGGGACTTGTCGGTTTTACGTCTCATGGCGACGTGCGTTGTAGTCTTCCACTCAGTCCTTTGTGATTTGGCTTTTTGGCTTTGACAAATTTTCTACTATATAAAACATACACTTTTAGTGTAAAAATAAAATAATGGCTTCTCAACAATAAAGTAGAATTATTATATATTTTTTTTATAACATCAAATGACGGGACGCGTGTCGTGCGCCTGATGGTAAGCTACACGCCTATCCATAACAGTTGCGTCGCCACTCAGAGCTTTAAATCTCAACGACCTGAGGGGCATTGCTACTGAGCCCGTCATCCTGAGAAATAAGTTGACAGACCCATGTGCCTGTAATTTCACCAGCACCCTTACCCTTCAAAACTGGAACCGGCAAAAATAGGTAGCAGTACTTCCCTGGACGAACTCTTTCACAAGGAGATATAATGCTACTAAAGTAGTACCTACTGTAGAAGATACAGTTTATGAAACATTACTAGTACGTCGCAGCGTCTATTGTCGCTGCCTAGCTGCGGCAATTTAAAGCGACCTTGTTATCCGTCAAACAGCTGTATTTCCGAGATATGTAAACGCAATGTTCAACGTGTATTTAATTCAACCAGTTTGAGCGATGGATATTTGATTCTATTACAAACAGAGTTTGACGAGGTAAGATTTCTCGATGTAGGATTAATTAATGGAATTTACCGTTAACAAGAATTTATGTATGACTTAAGCACCTCAGAGCCCCAACGGTTTGAAACGGGGTCGATTCCCGGTAGGAGAATTTAGGAATGAACTGTTCTAGAATGGTTTTGGTTTGGATGTTCCTGGTAGGGAGTTAGGGCAATTTACAATCTGAATCCAGAGTTGAGAGATAAGTTTATAGAAATTAACATACTTGCGCTACCGTACATTTATGAAATAGTTATTTGTTATGTAAGGCTGCAAAGTTGTTGTTGCAACCTTAGCAGGGGAGGGATGCTAAGATTGAGTGGTTCAAAAATAGAATCCAGAGTGTAGCTAGGGTTTCAAGTCACGAGACGCAAAACTACTTTGCTGCCGAGCAAAGCACACAATTTTTCACCTCACTATAGCGGCGAAAATGGTAAATGAAAGAAAAACAGTTGAACTGTAACAAATCAGTTACTGTCGATTTAATGTCAACAATAGTAAGAATAAAATATACCATCGAATTTATATTACATAAATAATGTACGGCAAACCACGTAGTTGAACGTGCCATTATGTTTTTTTTTCATCGAAAGAAAAAGTTACGCGCACCACAGTCCATCGTCAAGTTTGAATTTCAAAAACCGTTTTGCACGCAGATTTTGAACGAGACAGAAAGCCTTTCGAGCTAGTGAGATGATAATGTAATTTATGTTAAGAATGTTTTTTTTTTGTTTACAATAGTGACGAACATAGTATTCATACGGAGAATGAAAAGAACCTGCCTGTTTTTGACAGTCGTCTTCTCAAAGTCACAAATTTGTGCGGTACAAAAAGTACACGCCTGTATAATAAAATTCCGGTTGACATTCATAATTTGCCATTCACGAGGTTGAGGATTCAACTATAGTCAAACAAAAACTTTAGAGGTTTATTATACAGCTTCTGCGTACTTGGATATACATATAACAAAAATCCATGGTAGGAGTGATCCGTTTGTCTCGATTTATGATTCAGACAGCCTCTAGAGTCTAGAGGTTCTTGCTCATTTTTTTCATGGGGATCTGTCTTACGAATGAGCAGTTGGGTATAATCAATACGACGAATTCAAGTGTAATTAATATTTGACCTTGATTTTGACTTAGTTTTTGCCTTAGTGGTGAATTCCGTGACCAGGTTGTCTGGCACATCATTACACTATTTCTTATTACACAAGTGTATAGAATAGGTGCAATTACATATTGGGATATGATAATGAAATGTCGTGTCAAAAAACGTTAGTAAACGTCAGACCTTACATTTTTTGGATCTTTTGCTCAGGTCGTAGGGCGGTCGCCGTGTAATAGCACAGAAGCAGGTTCGAGGCTTGTCAGATCGAAGGAATTTTACTTTGTGTTCGATCTTTTTATTAATAATTACTGAAAAACAACCCTGAAGCAAGGCGTTGACCTTCTGTAACAACACAAAATTTCCTAACACTTTGTGTGTTACGGGTAAAAATTCTATGAAATACCCCATGAATCAAGCATACTTTTACAACACCATAAAAACCATTGTTACTGTCTGAAAATTTAATGCACTATTTAATGATGTATACCAAATAGTTGTCCCTCTCTTACATAATGTTTTCTCATACTGATTTCGTGTAATGCTGTCTCTTTCTGTTTAATAGATGATAATGCGAGCGATAAAACCGAATGATGTTGCTTCTTTAGATTTGTTTTGAAACAATGAAATGATTTTAGCATTTACTGTGTTCTTTTTTAATATCGCAATCAAGTATACACGGTACCTAAACAGAAAATTAGGGAATCGCCACACTTATTTATAAAAAAGTATTTATATTTGAGAAATTACGAGCAAATGACATTCAAATGACATGATAAATGAAACATCCACAGCGGATAACCTTTACAAATATCCTCCACTATTTATTATGTATGAATGAATAGTACTACAGGAGTACAACAAAAGATTGAGAAATTAAATGGCAAAGCAAGTTTCAAGGGCCAAATAGATGTGTGCGTGAGTGCGCGCATGCTAAGTAAAGCTCGTAATTTTTTTATGATACTAAGTGAAGGGGTCAATCCGTTGTGCACCTGTTGGTAAGCGGCACGCCTATCCATAGCAGTTGCAGTGCCACTCAGAGCTTTAAATCGTAATGATCTGAGGGGCACTGCCACTGCACCCATCACCCTGAGTCTTGATTAGTCCCATGTGCCTGTAATTTCACCAGGTCCTCTTTCCTTCAAAACCGGAACGCAGTCATGCTCACATTGTGGCTTGGCGGTTGAAATAGGAAAGGTGGCAGCGCTTTCTTTGACGAACTCTTTCATTACAAGACTGCTGCTACTATCTCTCTCAGGTCTGTCTAGATCTCTCAAAGGTGTCGCTTACGGCGATAAAAGCTAAAAAACCAATGTAAAATGACAACACTAAGACAAATTTATAAGGTCTACTGACTCGGTCAGTAGTTTAGTTGGTAGAACGGTGGCCCTAGTTTGGCACAGACGCAGGTTTAAGTCCTGTCAGATCGAAGGAATTTTTCTCTGTGTTCTATCTTTGTATAAAAAATTATAACAGACTAGTGTAGTAAATTTACAAAAAATATAAATAAATATCATCATTATATTCAATAAAAATAATTATTATTATTAATAAGGAAGCGGTTTAAAAGCAAAATTTGTTACAAGATTGAATTGTTTTGGTTTTGAGATATAAATTATATATGGAAGAACGGTGCCTCCTAAAACAGGCTTGACAAGCTTAGGGTGCGTACAGATCTGCCGAATGCACCGCGAACGCGTTTCATGAGCGCTGCGAGCGCGCTGCTCGCGCACTGCACACGCGCTGCACACGTCCTGCATGCGTGCAGTTAAATGCATGTTAATATAGAGAGCGCGCGTGTAGCGCTCGAACGGCACGCGAACATATCGCATTACGCAGCACTGTACGCACCCTAACAAGCTTATTAGGAGGTACCATCCACTGTTAATGCTAAGTTGATTGTATTACTGAAATAAATCATTTTTTTGTAGCAGTAGAGCACCTTGTGAATGAGTTCGTCCTGCGAAGTATTGCTACATATTTCTGCCGCCAAGCATGACTGCTCACATGACTATGAGCATGCGTTCCGGTTTAGAAGGGCAAGGGTGCTGGTGAAATTACTGACACATGGGACTTATTCACTTTCTTTAAGATGTGCGTGTTGTTGGTTGGGCTATATAGGGTTCAATATTTTTTCCTTTTATTTCTTTTCCTTTTTTCCCTGCATTGGCAATTGTACTTGTTCTCAATGTGTAAAATAATATTATGTTGTTTACATTTCAATAATAATGTTTTAGTTTCTGCTGACCAAAAACTTAATAACTTATTTTTTGTGCCACTTGTGGAGATTTGTAATTATCACTTTCACCTGTTACTCAACATTTATTTATTGTTGAAAATTCGCTGTAAATCTTCCTTAATAAATAAATAAACGCCTCAGACTGTCGGGCGTAGTGGTATTAGTAGCCCCTATGATCTTTGCGATTTAAAGCTCTGAGTGAGTCTTACCACACAAAATTTAGTTATTAATATTGTTTTATCAAAGTGCACAAAAACCTTTGTGCGTTTTGCGTCGGCAATACAAGCGGACGCAAGTCGCAAATTCTTGTTCGTGCTTACAGCATGGACATAAAACTTTTTCTGATTCGGCTGAAGTTGATTGAGACCGTAGTTACTGAAGTCATTCTTCAACCAAAATTAGTCTCTGGTGCCATGTTTATCTTAATGATTATTCCTGAGGGCCATTGTCGTCCTATCT